TCTTATAAACCTTTCTCAGTTTTAAAAATACTTCTATATTAACCATTTTCTAAACTCATAAACCTATGTAATTTTAAAATTATACATATACTGGACAGCACTGCAAAATCCCACAATATAGTGAAAAATCCACGATAAATTAATTTCTTTTGAAGAGCCACAAAACAGTGAATCTGCGAAAGTCAAACCATGAAATAGCGAGGGATTACTGTATATAAATAGTATGTCAATCTCTTTGTATATTCCTACTTTATTAACGGCTCATAATTGATATAAGGAAGGAAAGCAGAACTGATAAAGTAATAGTCTATAGCCCTTATAATATTTGTTTTACCCAAATAAAATTTTTGAATGATTCAGTAATTTATAGAGTTCAAATGTGGTTAATTAGACATGCACATCATATCTACTACTTATAGTAAATGTCTTCCTATACTGCATCCATGTAGTTTGGTCCAAAAGAATCACTCAAGTGAACTTTTTACCATTCCCCAATTTTTCTCGGCCTGGCTGTGATTGTACTTATATAATGTGTAAGACCCAATCCTCTTCTCAAATGTGACAGTCCACGTTCTGGGCAGTGAAATGAGCAGTCCAGGAAATGAAAATATGTATTTACAAAAAAAAAGTTTGAAAAAGTCTTTAACAATAGCTCCTGGCACAACTGAAGATTTTTCTATAATCTCAAACTCTGTAGACATCACTCATCCTGAGCACAGATTACTGCTGGTCTCAAACTGTCAGCTTGTAAGAGCCTGAAATAAAGCAAACACCTAACTGAAGTAGAAAAGAGGAATCATATTTTCAGTTACTAAGTGTTTGCCAAGGCTAGAGGCACCGTGTATATTGACAGGCTAAGTTACTTTATAACTAAACAAAAATTATACTCAAAATTGACTGTTAAATGCTGTAGAATGGCACAAAGCCTACCAGCCTTAAAAATGCAATGAAAAACAACGCCAGCCACTCACGTGATTAGCAGACTTCAGAGAGCAGAACTGACTTCATGGGAAGAAAAGTTTGGTATATTGCTAGAGATCACATAAACAAGGGTGTCTTTCTAGTTCCGTCTAATGTTTTTGCAAATGCCTGTGGATGCAGACAGAGGCTTACACTCTATTGCTGCTGCTCACCAGCACTTTCTAGATGACGGAGCAGCTCTGCACTGCCCTGTCCACCATGGCAGCTACCAGGTCAGAGGCTTCCCACTTCATCACATGCTGACCAAACATTCAGTTTTACTCAATTTACATGAGCTCCAATTTAAATAGCCAGATGTGGCTACCAAAGAACATAGTACAAGTTTAGAAACACCACCAGCTTTTAGGTAAAAGAGGTTTATTATCAAGAATAAAATTTATGGGCCAGGGATATAGTTCAGCAGAATAAGTACCTGCCTAGCAAGTGCAAAGTCCTGAGTTGGAACCCTGATACCAAAAAAACAAAACACCCCAAAGAATAAAATTTATTAAAACTGAAAAAGCTCCATAAGATTTAGACAATTATGTCTTATTCAGGAGCTTCCTATCTTTTATTACTTTTTAGCTTTGGGAAACATTTTTTAATGAAAAATATTAAAAAACTGTAATAAAAGAACAACAGTTAATACACTGTATCATCATTATCTTCACAGTACTTATTCAGAGAAAAAAAGATTCTCTCTTACATAAAAGAAATAAACAGATTAACACAAAACTTCCTTTTCAATGCACTAAGAGAAACTAGTAATATAAATGGAACAAATTAGCATCTGTATTATTATTATTATTTTTTTTTTTTCCAGAACCAGGGATTGAACTCAGATCCTTGCGTTTGCCAGTCAAGCGCTTATCCTACTGAGCCATCTCCCTGGCCCCCAAACAGTTTTTTTTTTTTTTTTTTTTTTTTTTTTTGGCGGAACTGGGGATTGAACTGAGGCCCTTGCGCTTGCCAGGGAAGCACTTATTCCACTGAGCCATCTCCCCAGCCCTAAAATATTTTTCATATAACAGAATGATCAATGTTCTTCAAACTGCTTTGATTTTGGTATAAAATACCAGGGCAATATTTGGGTGCCCAAAATATAAGGATATTTATCTACCAAATGTGGACTATTAGATATAATATTAAGTGTTAACAAAATGTATTTATCTATCAAAATGTGGACTATTAGATATAATATTAAGTGTTAATTTCTCTGAAGATTAAAAAGTACTATAGCTTAAATATAAAATGTCCCCCAAAGATGCATCACGCTAACCTCATCAATGGACTGACTCGCTAACAAGCTCCTGACTGACAGGTACGAGGAGGTGGGACTAAGGTCCTATTTAGTCGGAGGACTGGGTTAAGGGGCTGCCTTTGAACTACCTCTCTTCTCTGTTGTACCCCTCTCTGCTTCCTGGCTACCAAGAGGAGGGCAACTCTCCTCTGCCATACCCTTCAGCATGTTTCTGCCTTGGAGCCAGGAGACCTTGGAGTGAAAGCTCTGAAACCATGGGCCAAAACAAACCTGTTCTCCTTTAAGTTGTATACATCAAGTAATCTGTCCCAGCAATGCAAAGGGTGACTAATGTAAGAAGTACACACCAATAAGTAAGTTGTGGTATTTATCAGTGTTAGAATATCAAAACAAAAAAGATATTATTTCATTCAGCTTAGAAAATTAACATTCATCTGTGGTCTTTCAATCAAAGGAGGTCAAATCTAACATGCCAAAATACATCAAGTTCACTCCCACCTCCTACATAAAAAGAGGTCATTTATTTATGGTAACAGTCACAAATGCAAAAATGTCCAAAGTAATTACATCATTCCTTTATTTAATGCAAAATGTTTTTCTACATGAGTTTTCTTCCAATTTTATTTCAAACCATTTTATTTCTTATATATAAAGTCCATTCTACTATGAGTGACACACTATTTTCTAGTCAGACACCTTATTACAGTTTACATTTTAAGATATTTTCTTATTTGAAACAAACCCAGGGATGAGGAAATAGAGCTAAAAACAAAAAGTAAAGTTCAACAACTTAATTGTTTGACTTGATAAGAAAAATGTGAAGAGTCTTTCTAAAACAGAAAGCTTCTTTTCTTCTCTGGCCTATGAAATCCTGTGTTACCCATAAATGGTCAAATACAAAGAAGTCAGTACCATGTGGAAGAGATCCAGAAAACATAACTGTAAACTAGTGCCGTTCACAGGTCCAGTGGCTCCCATCAGCTGCTTTCTCAAGTATTCTCACGGGATCCATGGAAAACAAATTAGTTCAAATCCAGGAATTTCAAACTTTTCTTAACAAATCTATTCCAAATGGCCATCTTCCCATGCACTTTCCTCAGCAGGTCACACTAGCTTACTTCACTCATAGCTCTAAGGTTTACATGTATAATTTAATACCAAAAGAATAAAAGCAGGGTCATTTTTCAACTACTTCTTCTTGAAAAGTAAACAAAATTAAACCCATTATACTGCTTATGTGTAACTGTTTATTGAAACCTCTTTTGGCTTCCTAGATTCCAGAAATCTAGGCACCCCTTTTTCTAATACTGTTCAGCTCTTTAATATGCGAAGTCAAATCTCCACCGTTCA